GAACATAGTTGTCGCATTTTACATTTTTCGCCACATCTTCAGCATTTACGGTGGAATCTGAAAGTATGATAATTCTTCGAGGAGAATTTTTTTTTTGTGGCAAAGTTCAAACACTCCGTTCTAGTACCTACCACCAGATATCAGTTCTTATCGCCCTAACGTACCACCCTAATGACAGTAAATTAATGCCCACCAAAAACCATTAAACTTTTGCTAAGAAAGTATTTCGATTATTCCAGTAGAACCATTTTTATAAAAAAACATTTTTATTGCCAAATGTAGGTGTCCTGAAAAATTTAAAAAGGCGACTTCTAAGCTCGGCCAATTTAGACTCCGGTCAATTTTTGTGTTTTTTGCTTGTTTGTAAGGTAGTACGATCAATTGTATTGTAGATACATATCGATGGTCCTCTGCAATAACGACATAATTGAAAATTAAAAAAATAAAAACCCTTACTACTGTTATGTGGCTCATGTCTCTAATCGTTTAGTAATTCTTACTACCTACTTTAATAAGGATTGGACTTGAATTAGATAAGGATTACAGACATGAGCCACTTAACCGTAGTAAGAGTTTTAGTTTTTTGAATTTTAAATTGTGCCGCTGTTGCAGAGGATCGATATGTATTTTGGTTCTGCCTTGTCAAATTATCCAATTGATTTACATAAATAAGTAAATGTTTATACGATTTCTTCTGCAAAAAAGGAAACCATCTACATGAATGCACATCTAACTTTGTATGTATTCATGAAACACACTTTTTCCAATCAAATTTTTATTTTGCCAAATTTTTTCTCAACTCCTTTATTATTGGATATCAACATATGTATGTACGTATGTATGTATCTCTAATTAATTTAATAATTTCCTTGTCACTGCCACAGCTTGCGTTGATTACATTTTACTTGTCACTTTTTTTGTATTATTGATATTTGTGTTCAGTGCTTAAGGTTCGTGTATACGGCAATGGAAACAATTTAGTGGTCACTGTTGACGGTTGATAGTTTCAGGGATTTTTTCCTTGTCGCACATGTATACATATATATATATTTTGTTCAAACCCAAATATTTGTAAAAGATTTTTCGACAAAGATTTACATATAATACCTATTAAAGGTTTTATGTTTTTAGAAAATATATTTCGACTTTTGAGTTTCCCATTATTTAAATATAAGATAATCGCCCAACTGTATGTATTTTTTATAAGTTATAATTGCTTATGAAAATTGAAGTTAGGTATCTAAGATAATACGCATAATATGTATACTAAAAGCAAATATTTTGGTAAAAAATTTACATTAATACATGCATATACATGTTTTCGTTTATAAAACTTGATTGAATTGCAAATAGCTCATTTCATCTTTATTATAAGTACGTACATATAACTTTTTATTAATTTCAATATTATACTAAATTAATCTCAAAACATCATTATATGTATACTCGCTTAAAAACACATATTTAGTTCTTATTACTATTGTTTTATTTCGAATTTTTTATTATAAGTGTACAAAAAACTTTACATATTGAAGTACAAATATTTTTATAAGCATAGCTTTTTTGCATTCTTACTTATACGTAGCTAGTTAGCGTTTATTATTTAGTTAAATTAAAAATGTTTCAAAGTTGAAGCAGCTTGTTTTAGTTTAAGATAAATTTTCAATACTTTTTGTCTGATTAAATTCGAAGCTTAAGTTAAGATTGTTAGATAAATAGGCACTTTAATAGTAAAAAAAAAAATTTTAGGGAAGCAAATAGAAAATATTACTTATGACATATAAAAAACTAAGAAATTTTAAGTAAAATTTTGCTTTAAAAAGAAGACTAACCGATATGTTAGAGGATGCCACACAGCGTGGAAATTGAACTTTCTTGTGGCAAAATCTTACATTTAGAGAACGAGTACAGCCAGGGAAATAAATATAACTGTATTTTAAAGATTTTGAGATGAGGAATTCTGGAAAAAACATTCTCCTAGTTAGAAATTGCCTTTACTTTTAAAATGACCTACAACAAAAAATGGTTTTATTTTTTCCTCCTTTTTTGACCCGAAAGCAGTAAGCAATTTTTTTCAAGTTTCAGACATATAATATTGATCCCCCTTCATGGTCGGAAGAACCGAAAAACACATTTTAAATTTTTTATAACTTTATTACATGCGGTTTCTGATTTAAAAAATAATTGAAAACTTGAAAATTTTGCATTTCAAGGTCGCCTTAAAGGTCATAGTAATTTTTTATTCGGTGAAATGAAAAGAAAAATATATATATTTTTTTACCGAAACTTTGTATGTAAAGAACTAAAAAAAATAAAATTTGTTCGGTTGTTGCGACCACGAAAATGGATTCCTTGACGCAAGTATAGCAAAACATATATGTACATACATGCAAATATACTTATATGTATTAAACATTTTTTTTTTTAAATTTACATTAAACATTACCTGCTGTTTTCAGGTCAAAAAATGAAAAAAAAAACATTTTGTACCCTCTATTTTTGAACGTAATTCTTAAGATCAAGGTAACTTTTTTATCCAGTGATAATTTTTTTCTGAATTTTTCGTCTCAAAAGCTGTTAAACTTATTTCGCTAGCTGTTCTCGTTCTCGAGATAACAGATTTTGTAACGAAAAAAGGTCATTTCGCACACTGTGTGTCGGTGAACCTTTCGTGGTTTTAAGGAAAAGGTCACACTTAGGACACTGCGGGCCCATTGTTTTGTCTAACTCTTAACTCCTTACCCTTCTTATACCTTAGAAGTAAAACCCATTTGTAGCCCTAATGAAGCACACAAACTTGTTGATATCCAATTCAGCCAAACATTCAAAAGAATAGTGGACAAACGAGTGCCAACGAGTGGCTTTGCTTTCGATTGCCTCCTCATCACAGCAGTAAGTAGTCGTTTGACTGTATACCCATCCTACTAGCGTGGGTTCCCATCAGGCAATGCTAGAGGGCTCGATCTACGCTTATCCCACCTAGGCCAAATATGCGTTGCTGTCCTGCCGTGGGTCCGACAGACTATCTTGTACTTGCTCGTATGATAAAATTATTCTCCAGCCAGAGTTTCCGAGTAGATAGTGGAATGCCTGCATCCCGAGCAGTACTGATTGAGATAATATGGTGCTTTGAGGCGATTGAGAAACAGAGTTATGCCGGGTCGATAAAATATTAAACCCTACAAATCTTTCATTATATTCGTTTATTTTCGGTCTGTTTCATTCGAGATCTTTTCGCTAGTTTTTGTACAGACACTATTGCTTCCTCGATTTGCCAACGTTGCCCGTCGTTTTGGAAATTATAAAAAAAATTTAAATATTTTACCTTTTTGAAGAAAGGTGCGTCCTGGAGTGTCTACGGGCATTCCAAAGATTAGTTTGCTATTTCAAGAAGTTTTACGTTACTCCAGTTTTTCAATAAATTCATCGTAAGAGCACCAGTGAACACTGAATATGATAACGACTTAGGACTTGATTGAAGGTCTAAGGCTTTCAATAAAACTTGTATAGAAAGGTTTGCACTCTTTAAGCCTAGACTTGTGGCTTTGCTATATCATAAATCAAAATGTGGAAATACTCATATATTTTGAGAGTAAAGCTATGACAGCTTTTCAACAATATACCCTTGAAACAAACCGCTGCGTGTAAAATGGCTCCGGTCATTACAAAAGTTAAAGTTGCATATTACTGGTAAGTAGGATCCAAATTGGATCTGTCCGACAAAAATCTAGTTTATAGAAGAACTGTTTTCTGAAACAGCCGCCTAAGCAATGACAAATCTTTTGGCACTAGGCTGCTTAGATCTGTAGGTTACTTTAGCCCTTTTCCTAATTATCGGTGCCCAACGAATGCAGCTACTTCTAGCTAAACATGCAATTTAAACTGCTTATTTGAAGGATATGAACATTATGAAAAGGGTTAGCTAGGTTGAGTTAATGTATCCACATAGAGATAAAAACAAAAAAAAAAAACATTAACCTCGGTCTACTTAGAAACTATTTCTGGGCGAATGCCTTTCTTAGCTTTTAACCAGTTACAGCTTTTGCTATTTCGGCATTATATTTCACCATAATGTTGGAAACCGCTGAAAGTCATTTAGGGGATGCAGATCGAATTGCCTCACATTTCTATCGAACACAAAAGGTAAAGCAAGGTATGTAAAACTGAAGATGAAGAAATGTGGAACCAATGACAAGCCACTAGGTTTATGCATGCAGCGTATCGATAGCTAGATAGATTTAGAAAGATTTAGGAAAAGGAAGGATATCCACATCTAATCCATTCGAACAGTCTCCTGACAAACTAAAAACAGAAGCTAGGTTATGGCTCTCTGGGAAGCTCCTTTGACCGTCCCAGATTTGCAATGGGCTAAAATGCTGTCCTAGTTTTAAAAACCGATCGCTTAGTTAATATGTGACTCATCTGTCCAACATAAGTTTGAAGGTAGTCCAACCTACATCTTCTTTGTATTTATAGAAATCACCTCGAGAGAACCTTCCTAGCTAGATAATTAGCTAAGCACTTTCCTGGACTTTGCTATTACTAATATAAGTCTGGTTAGAAAGAGATCCGATGGCACCGAAAGGTGGATAAACATTGGCCAGTTAGTTCTTAAAGTATTATAAATGATACCAGTGTACTGATTGCCGCCTAGCATAAATTTCGACCTACTTTATATTTACGCGTTACACACCTGATCAGTATATTGACTACTTGACTAATCGCAAGCATCTCTATATGGAACACCCAACAACAGTCTGTAAGGCAAAATTTGAGATTGATAGACGTTTCTCAAAAGGCGGCATCTCCATTGAACCTACAGTTAAGCTTCGAACCGTCCGTGTCTGTTGGGCCTTCTTTCCTTCCTTCAGGGCATGTGAGTGAAGAAAGTGCTGGGCAAATCTAGGTAAATAATGATAAAAGTTGACATCGACGAAATTAAAGTTTGCGGGAATTTTAAAGTGTCCAGACATTGGACCAGTTAAGCTACTAGAAACTCTGAATAGAACGATAGTCGATAGTGCGCGTTAAGGCAGACACTGGCCTTAGACTGAATATCTCAGCACATCCTTTATTTCAGTCAATCAATCTTCCCTCATTCTTCATATCACACCTCTTTTAGAACTAAAACATGGCCGCTTAAATGACATTCTTGTGCGTGAGCGCTCCATTCTCTAAAGGTAATTAACTAAATGCCATCATAAAAATATCCAATTAGCCAGTAAAATAGAGTTACATATTATTGATCTATCTAATAGAAGCTCTGAGCATAGAGTAGTCTATATACATATATATGTAAAAAGGTAGGTAAAAAGGTATGGAAAATGCTATTAGTATTAAAAAGTAGCAGATACTATTTTAAAAAGGCATTTTGTGTTAGTTTTTTTCTTAATTACAAAATGTTTTAATTGAAACTCTTTTTGCTATCAGCTCCATTTCTTAACATAAATGGCGTGATTCCAGCATTACCATGCATTGAAGCAGTATTGTGTCGGTTTGTTTTTTACAGCATTGCACACTTTTACTATATCACAATTTTTATTACTTTAGTTTTCTAAAATTATTGCGAACTTATCATTTGCTTTCCTACACCCGCGTTGATTCTTCACTCATGTGCATTCAATCCCGGTCTTTCAGACCCAATACTCTCCTGAACCCCGACAGCGTTTTACTGGCACTAGTATTTCCCGTAGAGAATGCGTACATATTCACATTCCCGTTCGTTTGTTGATATGTGACGGGAAAGTCTGTCGGGGCCAGGAGTAAACCTCACGTCCGCACAAATTTGTACACAATCAGAAACACCATAAACGAAATGCCCACCAATATGACTGCTGTCACAACTTTCGCACACGTATTCAGGCCCGACTCGTTTGGATTTAATGGCCGCGAACTGGTACGCGTATGCGAGCGCCTTCGTTTTGTGGCAAGACCGCGCGCGAGTGCCGGAAACGCAAGCGATTGAGTAAATGTCAGTTTATGTATAGATTCACTCAGCGAATAGGGCCCCACCGAACCGCGCGCCGCTGCACGCAACAACACATATTCGAGATCCAGCGCATCGAAGAGTGAGTAACGCGCCGTCATTGTGGAGGAACGGCGCCGTTCGTAGCGCGAATCACGCTCACGATCCGATTGCGGCTGCAGCCATGGGTCGGAGACGCGCTGCTGTGAACCCGCACCAGCGCCGGCAGCCAGACATGCTGCCACAGCAGCGGCGGAGGATGAGGAGGAGCCAGCGGCTCCGCCACCGATTGCTCCCACCGCTCCGCCGCCTAAGCTGACCGCTGCGACGGAGGTCAGCGACGACGTCGTCGACGAGGACGCAGAGCAAAGACGCAAATTCGTCGCCAGCCCATTATCGTGGAACTCTGTAGCATCTTCGATGGATGTTTGATCGGGTGAGGTTTGTGCGCGTTCCAGAGCGGCGGCATGTTTCATGCGCAGCGCAAATAAACGCGCATGATCGGGATGTAGTAGTGCGCTTGACTTGCGTCGATAGTTCGCCGCGCCAACGCTGATACTGGCGCGTGCACCAGCGCGTGCCCCACCCAGCGAGAGATTGGGTGAACCTTGCGTAGGGGTAGTGGCGGGAGAAACATTGCAGGAGTTGCTGCCTAAACCTAGGCAGCCGTCGCCGCTGAGCAGCGAAACACCTGGCGGTGGCGGCGGCAGTGCATTGGGCGAGGGCGACGCTTGCACCGAATCAATGCCTGAGTCGCCGGCATGCAAAGTATCACAGTAAAGCGAGCTGCGACGCCGTTCGCCTATGTTGCTGTTGCTGGTGCTGCTGTTGCTGAGCGTTAAATGATTGCCATTGCCGCTGCTGTTGTTGTTGTGACTTAAATTAGTGCTGTTGTTGTGATTGTTGCAAACGCCAGATGTGCCGCTACTGGTGGTGGAACTGCCCGCGCCGGCGCTGTCCCCAGTCGTACTGCTGCTGCCAGCGCCGCTGCTGCTGCTAGTACTCGTCTCGGCAATGACAGGGAAGATGAAGGACTGGCCGTCCGCCTCGCCGCGCGGTGAGTCCTAGTTGAGAGCGAAGGGGAGAGATAGAGAGAAAAAAAAAATTGTTAGGGAATTTCTGTGCTGGTAATATAGAGTTGGCACATTTAAATATTCGGTTAAAGGGGTGGCTGGGTGTGCGCTGAGTAAAAAAAGGCCGACAGTGGAAACCGAATGACCAAATGTGAACGTGATTTCGGCAAGTTAATGGTAATAAATATATGAAAAACTGCTAAATGTTAGTGATAAGTGGTAGAGTACTGTTGTTGCTGCAGATATCTTTCGTACAGGTGCAGTAAAACCTCGATACAACAATATGCATAAATTCGTTTTAATTTCATAGTTATTTACAGCTTGTGAATTTGTTTGAGCGATTTGCTCCTGCGAAGATATCTTAAATTTTGAAAAAAGTATCTTAATAACGCAAAAAAATAAATTTTTTGGTTAACTATAGAAAAACGAAATTATTTTAGAGGATTGTTGCATTGAGGATCGGTATATCGAGGTTTTGTCTGTGTACTAGCGTTTATCGTGGTTAGTAAATTGTGTTAGAAATTAGCGATTTAGTGCATTTTAAATAAGTTGAAATAAATTTTCTAAAACAGCTACAAAAATCAAAGTTTTCAATTTGAAAAAATCCCATTTAACTGTTATTTGTATAAAAATAATGAACCATAAGGACTTGGTTGAACAGGGTTAATAAAAGAAAGCGTAGTATTTCGTATTTAAGTATTTTTATAACCATAACGGTATTTTTGTTTAGTTTCATACATTTTGGTAAATGATATAATAAATTAGTTCTATCGAAAAATTAAATAAAAAAGCACCATGGAAACATTTAAAAAATTTAAAAAAAAATTTTAGTTTGCAAAAAAATTGTTAAGGTTTATTAACCTCATTTGCATTTGTTAGGAGAAAAAGGGATTCAAAAAGTATTACAAAAACATGCATCGTACAAATGTACATTACGTATACTTATGTATGTATAAATTTAGTTTTATAGGCAACTTTAAATTTTTAGAGAAAGAAATTATGTATTTATTTTTAAATTAACACGCCTACCCGTTGGCCTTCAGGGCCGCTGTTACGTCGCAACTGCACGAAGCCCTCCTGTCGCAAAAGTGGCTACAGTTTTTTATTCACCACAATACATCACAACGAATCACAATAACCAACGCCAAACCAAGAAAACAACAGAAAGTACATAGGTTTTTCATATAATAAATGTAAGCCAAAATAATTAAAATCAAACAAGGACAGTTAGCAATGATTACAGAAGTACACTACATACTCGTATGCATGTATATATGTATCTACATACATGTTTATGTAGGCTACAACATGTGATTGTGTTGGGTGTTATGAGCCTAACGCTACATACATACATACTACTTATTTCGACATGAAAATCGCATATTAGATAAGGCTGGCCGATTTTAGTCTATTTTCGGGGTCACTTGGTTAGCACGCCATGGTTTTGTTTCTCTCAAAACTATACAAATTTTGCAGAAAATTGGAGCGTGATTATTCAGAATGAAATACAAAGTGCAGAATTGGCAAAAAATTAAGTTTTAAATATGTAATAAAAATATAAGATTAATATAATATTTGCCAAATAAAATTTGTATAACAAAAAAAATATATTTTTTTTCATTTTGGGGGAAAAAAATCTCCTGACTTCAAAAATGGTTTATTAGCCCACTTCAAACTTATACCGATTCTTCCTCATACTGGTAAAAACTTGTTGTAAAATTTTGGTGAAAAAAAGGTAGCTTTTTCAAGAAAATCAACTTTTTTCTTTTTAAAAGTTGGCCACCCTTTTCTTAATTTTACAAGTTTTTGCAAATTTCAAACGAATTTTCAATGTAAGCTAGGCCACCTATAAGAATCAGGAAAACAAATTTTTTTTTTAATTAGAAAAAAATGGCAGGCAACACAAATTTTTTTTATCGTTTTTTAATTTTTATCATTCAAAATTGATATGCGCATATCTTTATTAGAAATAGTTTTTTCAAAAACATACGTATCCTTCATTTTCCTTGTAGAATAACATACATATTTCATCGGCAAGCAAATCTACGATGTGAAGTTGTCACTCTGCCTGATTTGAGATGGATTTGGCAAATGGAGAAATTTTACTTTGAAATTTTCAAACTATGACGAAATTCCTTAAATTCAAATTTCTCGGTGAAAGGAGATATTTGAGCAAACCTTTAAAATATCATGTATATTTTTGTGAGTAACCGAAATTCCATTGTGCTACGTAACATCGAAAATAGGCCAAAACCGGTTTTGTCGCATTTTTAGGTTAGGATATTTAAAAAACCTGATATGATAGAGCTATTCTAAGATCAGATTCGTATGTAGAGACCCAAAATATGTATACAAGAAATAGCTGGCCTTATATTGAATAAAGTCTAAATTTAAAAATTTGTTGAATAGTGATCTCCAGGGCTGGCAAATATGTATACAAAAATTAGTTTAAGCACTTTTGAAAGCTCGATAAACAAACAAAATATGCTCATAATAATGCTAAGTCAATGAAATTTTATTTCTATCTTACAGTATCGAGCCATAACCGCCAAAATAACGTAAGCGACATTTTTTTCAAAATTTTCTTTTTGATGCAGAAATGCATCTAGATGCTCTAAGAATATTTCTGCATCAAAAAGAAAATTTGAAAAAAATATCACTTACGTTATTTTGGCGGTTAGGGTTTGATGTTATTTTTACTCAATAATATCGGAATTAAAGTATAAAATTACATGATTTGTTCAATTACACAAACACAAAAAAAAAGTGTCGCGGTTCGGGGATCAGACCATTACTTCCCTATGTATTTTGATACGCTGAACACCAATCTGTCCTGTCACATTTTGAGGTTAGAAAAAAATCAGAAGTAATGGATCAAAACGCATCAAAATACATAATAAAAAGATAGTCTGATCGCCGAAACCCGATTTTTTATGTGGCTGTGTTATCAATAGAAAAAATAGGCCCTCTCATTCTCAGGCCATCTAAATATATTGAATAATTGGAAAAACTTCTTTACACATCCTTAGATGTAATTGGATAGATCTTCAGTCTCAGTCGAGTTTTACACTTTTCAAAATTTCTATATTTTCTTTCAACATCGAACCTTTTATTTGTAGCTCTGTAATGCCTACTATCAAACAACCAAATTTTTCCTTAATGAATGCCAAGTCTGTTCAGATTCAGTTCAAGCAGTTTTTTAGTTTGGCAAATACGTAGCTTTTCCAGCTTCATCGATCAAATCCTTGAAGTCTCATTTCGAGTCGCTCCATACATTTACATACATACATTTCTACTCATCTGTCGTTTCATATTCCCCGAAAATGCGAAGTATGCGCATGTGTCAAATATATGCACAAATAAACAGAACTTCCAGATACTATATGCCAAATAAGCTTTTCCAAACTTTTGCTAAGATTTTCCAGCCCGGGTGATATCATTATTCAACTCATCTTTGAATATGTGAAATGCAACCAAAATGTTGCTTTCATACAACCAATGTGACTACTAATCGGCAGATATGTAGTAGCTTCATTTCTTCCATTTTCATTTTCATAAATTTGAGAGCACTAAATTTGCACCTACCTGACTGGGCCACACTTGCAATAGCGGTAGCGAACATGACGGTTTGTTGTAGGCGCTGCCGTTCTCATGCCCGCCCGGTGCACTTTGCGCTAAGCTGGTATAATGCAGATGATTGAAGCGCTGTGCATCGCTGCCGGGTTTCGTGGTACGCGTGGGGCTTTCATAGCCAGTCGAATCTTCGGATGATGTTGTTTTGGGTGTACGCCAAAATCTTTTCAGACGCAGTTCGCGTCTTTTTTCTTGTTTCTGAAATGAAAAGGTTTTACTAATTAAACACATATAATTTGCGAGATGAATAGTGAATAAATAGTGAATGTTAACTGAAGTTAATTCTTGCCTATGCGAACTCATGCACATTTCTAAGTATGCCAGAGACAAACACGTTATATTCTCCAAAATTTAATTGAAAAAAGAAAATGGGGGAAGGCGCTGTTAAGGATTTAGTTAGCTACAGCTTTTAAAATTATATTGGGACTAGTTACCGTACAATGCAAAAATATCAGAAGGATTTCCCACAAATGATAGATAGGAGCAGTGTTGCCAGAAATTTTCGGGCCGACCGGCTAAACTGGCAAAAAAAAAGCGGCTAAAATGTTTCAACTAAAATTCACATGTTTTATTTAAATAACTTACAAGTTGAAAGACTAGTAAATTCATTGAATAAATCTAAAAAAAATCAGATACTAGTAAATTCATAAAGCTGATTTTTTAACAAACACCATTTTGATTTACCAAACTTCAAACCTTATGCAAAAATTATGAAAATTCTTCGAAATTTGTTACTTTTTAATCCGCACCTTTAGAAAAATTATGGTATGCAGTTTTATAGTCTATTAAATTTTAACATAATATACTAGTGCAAATTTTAAGTACATAGCTATGACCCACTGTTGATTTTTGACATTTTTTTGTATGACGGTGTTAGGCATTTTTGTCTACACAAAGTATATTCTACCATTTTTTATATGAAAAAAAAATGCGGAACACTGTCAACAAAGAAATTGCCAAAATTAACGGCATCCGCTAGTTGCTTTAAATTTGCACTTTATTATACTACAATTTAAAATTTTTTTAAAGATGATGAGTAAAAAGTTAAAAAGTTTTGGTGAAAATTTGTAGAATTTCCATAATAGTAACAGTATGAAATTTGGATTTAAACGGTGTTTTTTAAGTAATCAGCTGCAATTTCATAAAAAAAATTTAATGAACTAAAGAAACATAGCCAAAACTTGCTAAAATGTCGTGTTTATGGGTGTATGGGTACTGTATGTATATTAGCTTAAAATAAAAACCATTGAAATCGGCCCAGTATTTTAGGACTTTTCGCATAAGAAAAAATTGTCTTTCAATTTTATATAACACAGTCCGACATGAAACTTTTCTCAAAGATAAGGCTTGCCATTTCTAATAGATTTTTCGTCGCTAAATTTGTACAAAAGAAAACCATTTAAATTTTTAGAAAATACGGCTGCCGGCTATTTGCCATTGCAACCGGCTAAATCTAGCCGGAAAACGGCTAAACTGCCAACACTGGATAGGAGTCGTACATATTGATTGTAGTTACATACATATGTAAATAATGTACATATTATCATTTTAGCTGAGATTTTAAAGGAGGAACAAGGACCCAACGACAGCCGGTGGTTTTGTAGCTCAATCAGTCATATCATAGTAGCATGGTTTCCACTGGAATAGCCGCTATCTTCGTCAATAGCCTCACGGCTATAACACAATTTAATCCAGGGAGGTTAGTTGTAAGGAAATTTCTGGTCGCGTTGTCCACTTAAAGCTCTAAAATCCAAGCTAACAAAACAGACAACTTCAAATATCAACCGCGATGATGGTGAGTCCTTAAAGTCATTGTGACCGACAGACATCTATAATTCGCCAAACCTATAGCGAGGAAACTTATCGGCACGACCACGGGGTACTTCGCTATTGCATCGATCCACCAGTATACTTCACAGGAAACGAAAAGGAATAAATTTGAAGCGATTTAAATGCTTAGTGCCACGTTTTACCTACAAGCATGGAATAGGAAGTTGTTCGGCTGTAAATAATCGCCGATTGTCGGAACGATAGTCGTTGATCGAAATATGAGTTTTCCATTGGCATCATGAGGCAACCAATGACATAATTTACAAAAAAAAATGTGTTAAAATCTGTTGTTAATGTTTTTATTTACAACATAATTCAACGAGCGACTGTCGATTCGAACGACTTACTACAACCAGAATAGGGATGAATAACTCAGATAAGAGGTATGCATCTTAGTCGTTACGCACATACCCATTGAAAGAGCCTACATATGTATGTATATATCTCTGTGCTACCTTCCAGATGTATTAGAGGGTGCTGGAAAACTATACATTGAAAAAATTATATTATTTAACGGTTGAGAATTACAAACATTTGTAAGTGAGGTTTTAAAACGAAAAAGTAAATTTCTTAAACATATAATGCTGCTGATATAGCAACTAAGCGAATCAGGAGGGGAGAGAATGCAAAATTCGACTTGACCGTAGTATATTTTTACTATTGTTTTGCAAATTTTGGACAAATCATCTATATTGTTGTCAACATATAAATACATTGATGTCTTTACTAAATGCACTATGATATAGTTATCGATATTTTAGTCGATATAGTTATCGATAAACTATAATTCAGACTGCCAAAATTGATCACATTATCGATGCAGTGTTTATGGATTTTGCCAACGACACACATGTACGTACATATATCGGTGTTTTAACCGATTAAGTCATGATATAATTATCGAAATTTTAGTCAATATACTTATCGACATTTTAAATAATTTACTTTTCATATTTTTAAATACGTACACGTTTTACAACTTCTTTACTAATGTAAATAATGATGCATACCGATACTTTATAACTATCGATATTGTTATCGATAAATTTAACGACGTTTTTATAAATTTTCACATATATCGATATTATTATTAATTTAGTGTTCGAAAAGATACCCATACATATTAGCGTCCATAGGCTACGATTAAACATTTATTAGTTGTCATTTAAAATCCTCCTGAAAAAATATAGAGATAAGCAGGCCTTAACCAATTCTTTACGGATAAAATTCCTCATTTAATGCATGCGTTCACACCTAATGCTGGGTTGGCTTGAGAGCCAAATTGCATGATTAGCAAACGTAAGCTGTTAAAATTTTACGCCACCGAAATCGAAGATGTTTAACACCAAAACAAATTTTAAACTAATTTAGTATTTTTTAGTAAAAACTTGCGGAAATTCTAATTAATTGGGGATGGCTTTTGGTCTGCGCAACAGTAGCCAATTGCTAAATTTATTATTCGAGTGCGAACGTATAAAAATAAATTGCAGCATTTTACATCGAAAATTAAACAATAAAGCAGGTCTCCCTCTGCACGCGTACAATTTTCCAAACTATTTTCGATTTATTTCTATTTTCAAACGCCACAAAAGCGAATTTGGGCCAATAAATAGTAGCAACCATGATAAAAACATGGTAGCAACAAAATCGAATTGAAAATTTTAGTAATGCAATAAATGAACTAAATTGGTGTCAGCTGGGTCGAATATTCGTGGAAACAGTAGTAGATTTCGACAATGCAATCGCCATTGAATTTCTTATAGCACAGGAGCACAAAAAATGCATACATACATACATATGTATGTATGTATGTGCTGTTTTATTGTTGTAAATTGCTATTTGCTCGCCATTGTTTTAGAGCCAAGTACACACATACATATGTACATCCATATGAGTACATACATATATTTATAACCATTTCTATGTGTAAAGCAGAAACTAGCGTTAACATTGGCAGCAACAAGCTGTCTTTCATTTAACAATTTGCGCTGTAACAATGACACTGTTTGTAGCGATTTTCACTGCTCCATTGTTTCTGGAAACCTTTTATTTTCACGATTTTCTTCGTGTTTTATCATTTTTGTTTTTATTATTTGCTTACTGGTGTTGTTTATAGGTGGCACTCCTGCATTTACCTTTGCGTGACTTTTGATTTGTTTTACTTATTTTGCAGTTTCTTTCTGGTTTTCGTTTTTATTGGCAATCAATTTGAAAAGTGTTGCACCGCAAATTCAATTAGTCTTGTTTTTCTAGTACCGTTTAATGCAAAATTTTGAAAAGCTTGAAGTGAAGAGAAATGTTGTTAGCTTAACTTTTAAAGCTATAGTTCAAGCATTACAACTTGGCGGATTTAATTTTTCCCAGGACCATTTACTAATATGTATAGATGTGTGTAATATCAAATGTTTTTTAGAGACCTTATTTGTACCGCATTTTTTTCTCAAATGGTTTAATAAAATTGTATTTTTTGTACTTTTCGTTTTGTACATATGTACGTAGCATATGCTGCACTTACCTGCATATTTAGATATTAAATCCTTTTTATTTAGGTTTTTCATCCCCAATCCCTTATTGTGCAAGAATATCAATCAAAAAGTTGCAAAACGAACATTTAATCTGCAAAGATAAATAAATTAAATTAAAACTATTTGAAAGGAAGTGTGATTGGGTTCGTGTGTAGTAGTATACAGTTTCGTACTGCTACACTGAGAAAAAAATTAATCATATCGTGTTGTTACAAGCTTTTATTATGTTTCGCTTGTGTGTAATCAAATCTCGCAATCAATTTTTAACCAATTTCCCGATAAGCTAAAGACTTGAAACTTCAAACTTATTTAGTTTCGAACCCGATGTCAGTGCAAGGTGAATTAATCCTCTAGGTGGCGCAGGAGTCGAGATATTTGGAAACCCCGTTTTTATGGTCCGATATGGTTCATATTTAGACCGTATATTACATGAATGGGAAGAAATAACACTACATAAAATTTAGCTGTTAGGTGGTGTGGGGTCTGTTTTTTTTTCTTTTTTTTATTAGCCACTAATAAAAACTTGTCTTAAAGAAAGTTTAATTAGGTATTTGTTATCAGCGGAATTTTGTGTATTTTTAACATACACCCACTAGAAAAAGTTTCCGTAAAGAGAATTTTTTTAATTGCTCTGGTTTTTCATACAAACATTTTTACTTCATTTCTTTTAATATAACATAAACTATTTAAAAGTAAATTTCAAACTTTATCTGAAATTTAGACAAATTTTCGAAATTTTCATCAAAATTTCTAACTTTTTTGGGATTTTGTCCAAGTAAAAAAATTCAGGCATACCTTGCATTGGAATATGGTCAGCAAAAAAATTTAAAATATTTGCGGAATTTTTAAACACCTTATTAAAATTTAATGGGATGTAAAACTGCACACGAAAAAAAAGTCTGACAAAAAAGTTCACATTAACATTGTCGTTAATTTTTTTATAAAAATAAAAGTTCATTCTATAATATAAATCATTTGAAAATAAGAAATTTACAAAAATGAGCCTTTTTGACATTATTTCCACATAAAAAAGTTTTCGAGCATACTTTGTATGGCAAAATGCGTGACACAGTCAGCAAAAAAAAATATATATATAAAAAATTAACGGGGTTTTGAAACTACTTCAAACCAGTAGCTCGTTTCTATAATTCTTCTCTACCGATTATTTCTCTACTCATTAGCAGTAGAGAACAGGGCGGCGAATTCATATCTCGATTCGCCTTGTTAGAGAATTGTTACAGAAACGAGCTGCTGAAAATTATTAAAATGAAATTAAATGGCATTCCAAAAAGTTCTAAAAATTCTGACAAAAAGGTATTGAAATTTTGCTGAAAATTTGGTGAATTTCTCTCAATTTTAGAGGAAGTTTGAAACTTGTATTTAAACGGCTTATATTATATTTATACTGAACTACATCATTACAAAAAATTAACCTAATTCTTTTTAAGGAAAACATTATGAATATTGTAAAAAACTCTGTATGGAAACGTTTTCTAGTGGGTATAAGTATATTTGTTTGAATGCGCTTTCCTTCTGCACTTCACAGATGCTTTTTGATAGTTCCGAAAAAGAAAACGTTTGTTTTTATTGCCCTAGGCGGCATTTGAATCTAGGATCCTCTGGAACCTAAAAAATAATAGCAAGCACCTCTGCACTCTTAGTCACGGCGATAATATGTAAACATATTTTCAAATGTTCTGCTTAAATCAAATTTTTTGAAATGACTTACAGTATTTTTTATTTCAAACTAGCAAATACCCGGCGTGCTTCAATGCACCACACAAGTATTTTTGTGCTATTTGATACCCGTTTTGTAATAAATATTTCATTTATTTTGTCAATTTAATTAATAATTTAATAATTTTTCAAACAGGTAGCAACCTTACACAAAAATTTTTTCGGATGTAAGCCGTCTTAAACCTCTTTATTTTGGCAGCCATATTAGCAATATTTACTTTATCATATCAATTTACTTAAAATGCAATTTTCAAACAGGTGGCAACTCTCTAATTTATTTATTTTTTATATTTTAACTTCGACCTCTAGAAATACATTGGTGAAAACTGCCATCAATTCCAGCTAGTAGTTGTAGAGTTATGCGCGTACAAACATACAGGCAGACAAAAGTTAAAAGTAAGTAGTTAAGTAAGTGCTCCTGGACCACACTGGAGAAGTGAAACCAACGTTACATATCTATTTTGTCTCATAACCAATATGCATACATTAGTACATACATACATACATCTGCTTTTGTTTAAGGTTTTATGTTTTGTCTTTTTTCCATCTACATCCCTACCTCTACCCCTGTTCGTTCTAATTACATTTATGTTATTCTGTCTTCCTTTATCATCATTTTTATCTTTATACTCTATCGATAACGAAATCGATAGTAATATCCAACAAAATATCAATAACAAAACCGATAAAAATATCGTCAACAAAATCGATGACAAATTCGCTTAAAATTTCGATAGCAAAAACGATAGTAATATTGGTAACAAAATCGAATAGAAAATCGATAAAAATATTGATAATAAAATCGATAAAAATGTCGCTAACAATATCGGTAACAAAAATCGATTAGAAAATCAATAAAATTATCGACAAAAATATCGATAAAAATATCGATAATACAGTCGATAAAAATCGATAACAAAATCGATCAAAATATCCATCACAAAATCGATAAATAATCGACAACAAAATCGATAACGAATCGATAATAATATCGATAACAAAATCCGTAAAAAATTCGATAAAAATATCTACACCAACATCGATAAAAAATAAAAATATCTACATCAACATCGAAAAAAAACTAATAAATATATCGATAAAAAATATCGATAACAAAATCGCTAAAAATATCGGTTCAAATTCGATCAAAATACCGATTGTTATATCGATAATTTCCGGAAATATCGATTGCAAAACCGATAACAATGTCGATTATTATATCGATAAATTCCGAAGATATCGGTAGAAAAATCGATAACAATATCGAAGCAAATTTCAATGACAAAATCAATAAAAAAAAATCGACTATTATATCGATATGTGCTGAGAATCCCGAAAATCTCTGAAATCCCAAAATGGTTCGCCGATTAAGTCTCTATGCCTCTATCTATATCCTTTTCTCAATAATTAACTTTATTTTAATCTTTCTTCCAATACATCTTCACTTTTATCGGTATCCTCATCATCATCCTCATCTTTTTCTTTATTTTTATTTTTATCTTTATCATTTTCTTCATCTACATATTCCTCTTCACCTTTGCCCTTATATAAGTAAAGTGTTTAAATTTATTTCCTTTTTGGTTGTTGTTGTTTCCGACAGGGTGGGTGTATGATGTTGTTTGAATTTGTTTTTGTCTTTGTTTTTGTTTTTATTTTTAGCTTTGCCTTTATCCTTTTCTTTATCTACATATGTATGTACGTACTCACTTTTACTTTCATTCCTGTATTGGTCTTTTTCTAAGCAATTTTTTAGTAGCAAGTTTTTGTTAAATTCATACCATGTGCATACACTCAAAAAAGCACATGTTTCAGCCCCAACCATTTCCGTTGCACCAATTCCGTTGCATTATTTCCGTGTGCAATTTCCGTTGAATTTGCCAATTTACTCCCAACCAACCTAGCGCCCTAAAGAAGTTTCACTTCAAAAAAAAAAACTGTTGATTTGGCTTCTGTCGTTCTAATAAAGACCCTCATATCAATTTTTCTTTAATATCTATAATGCACAGACATCGGCCTGTCACAATTTTATTATATGTATATGTAGATAAGAACTTTCTTTGAAAATTCCTTCTTCTGTTCACAAATTTTCTTAGTGTACTTCCCGTGCTCCTACGTACATTCCCAATGGGGAACTTTGTCTCAATTTAAGTGAAACATTTCCTGTTCTTCTGTCATTCTCTTACCACAAATACATCCCTTGGCTATGCATGGCGCAGCTAGTTACAAGGCAACATGAGCTCATCAATCTTACTAATGATACCAGCCGCATAGCATGAGCTCACACACTTACCGTCACCTTCCCAGTACATGTAGGTTTGCAGAACTCACATTTCCGGAAAATAGCGACCACAATTTGAATTTAGGGAAGGCTACATATGTACATACATACATACCTATGCATGTGCAAGTAAATGTTTTTTTGCCTTGCAGTCGTATTGAATGCTTTGATTTATTGCTGCGCTGGGGGAAGCAGCATCGAAGCTGTACAGCGATAAATGTTTAAAATATTAACAGCTCACAAGCAGCTTCATATGTTATGTTACCTGCATATGTATATGTATGTGCATATGAATGCATTTATACATATGTAAACATATTTGAAATTGTTACCTGTGAGCTGTAACTTGGTGTCTCCACAGGCAAAAGTTTTTGTCTTGCCAATAGAGACCGCATATTGCTCTTGGCAAGCAATAATTATCAGAGCTTTTATATCTTGATAAATATTGCCAGCAATTTGGTACTTTGACAGCTACATTTTCATTTGCGCGATAACTTCGTGGGGCAACATTATTGATATTTTAATATAAAAGCGAAAATTGAGCTGTTTTATATTAAAATATTTTTTATTATTATGTACGTGGATGTGAAATAGCATATTTTCTAAATTTTTTAAGTGAATAAATCCGGCAAAAATAGCCATCTCACAAATCCTTTTACCAAGATAAAAATTGCCCACGCATAAATACTGCGTCTGATAAAATTTATATCAGCCAATAAAGATTACAGTTGGTAGGCAAAGTGCAGTAAGATAAGAAAGAAGTTGGTTATGGCTTGCGGTAAGCATTCGTTCGGTTGGCAAAATTGCTTGCTCTGCTATAACCTGATGCATCATTGAATATTTAGCATTGTCATTAGCCGGAATGGAATAATGATTTTATGTGGTCACAAATGTATTAGAGATCTCATGACATGCAGATATGTTACTTGTGGTTGATATTAAATTATAAATGAGTAGGAGTACGTATATAGTGGGAGTAAGAGGTATGCACATTTGCATGCGTAGGAGTTGTAGTTGCTACTGCTGTAGGTAGAAGGTAGATTAGGGCATGCTTTGACGAATAAATCAATCAGTAA